CTTTGACCACATTTAATCTTAAATTAATATTTTGTAGAAAATATTTCAATTCTCTTTTCATGCCAAATAAATAGTGGGCATCCATTTTTTATAGACTATAACATGTTTATTTCCTATCAAATTCTAATTTATAATTCTACTTAATTAAGTCAAGATAGACAATTAATGATCTGAAATTATATTTACTGGTAAACAGTCATATATAAAGGGGTTTCAAATCAAAATTCACCTTTATGAGGTAACTGTCCAAAATTAAACCCTTTTTTATGCATACTTTTGGGTCCAAAACAAATGTAGAAAATGATACACCATTGCCTTATAAACAGTCGAAAAGTAATGTTCACCTACCCACAGTGGGCATATGTTAATATGTCCATTGTTTATGTGGCACGCACACATTGGTGATGTATTTTTTTGAACATATTAATATCACCAATGTGTGCATGTCACATAAGCGGTGGACATATTAACATGTGCTCACCGTGGGTAGTGGAGCATTATCCAACAGTCGAAATGTTCAGTAAATTTCTAACAAAATTATGTCCCATATGTAACAAAATTCTATTTTTTTTTTTCAAATCTTACTGCTTTTGACCGTCTAATATATCACTTGAGAAGACGCTAAGGTCCCGTTACGGCATCATTACGTCAGGATTTGTAACTGTTAGATCAACAAAATCTGACGGTTATATGATGATCTAACGGTTACAAACTTCGACGGAATAGTTTTGTAACGGGACATTAGCATTTCTCTATCACTTGATCATAATAATTTTATTTGTGTAATCAAGGGCTTGATCATCCTTATTAATTCTGGTCAACTAAAGGCAATTTGGTGGGTTCTTTGAGTAATTTGAACGCTCATTTGCGATGGGGGAAAAAAAGTCAAACAGTGCCAACTCGAATGAACAAATTAGTACTTTTAATTAATTTAAAAAATTAGTAATGTTGGCTCTTTTGTCAACCATAAAGTAATTTGTAACAACCTAAATACCTAATCATATCTCTTCTTGAAGCAACACATCATATTATATCAAAGTGTATCATCAATTATTCAAACAAAATAAATCGTCCAATCGATCAGTGACTAAATGTTTATCTTAAACTGATGAAATAATATTACTTAATTTGTTCGTCTTTTTTATGTGAGATAAAGATTGTTCAATCAATTTTTGACTCTATACATCATTTGAAATTGATTGGATAAGTTATCACTCATTTGTCCATACAGTTTTGTTATGGAGTCATTGAATTTGCTCGGCTTATGGAGTTATTTACAATTATTCGTATTGACAGTCCTACAATAAATGCACTTTGGACAAGTGTCAATACACTAATAAACCTATGTTTGGTTCGGGGTAAACGGGGGGAGGGGAAGGGAGGGGAGGGAAATTTTTATTTTCCCCTTGTTTGGTTAAAGTTTTTGTAAGGGAGAGGAGTTTGAATTTTCCCTTCAATTCCCTCTTCCAAAGGAAATGTGCTCCCCTCCAAAAGTGAGGGAATTTGGAGGGGAGGGAACATTCTAACAACAAATTACTCTTTTGACCTTACTGTGAATTATTTTATTTTTTTTTTGTTCCTTACATCATTAAGGATATATTTGTCATTCTAACATTATTTTCCCTCTCATTCCGTCTTCTAACCAAACAAGGTTAATCATTTTTTTTCACTTCCCCTCCTACAAAATCCATCCAAACAAGATAAATTATTTTTCCTCCCTTCTCCCCTCTCCTCCCTTCCATTAAATTCCCTCCCCTCCCCTCCTCTCATTTGAACCAAACATACCCTAAGTCATGGATGACTCCATAAGAAAATCATCCGATGGCTCCATAGAATTTTTGTTTGTCCATAATGAATTGTGTCTTGATTTACAATATTAGTTGATGATATCATAGTCGTTCTATTGGGACCGTGCGATGACGTACCCGTTTTTCCCCACGTACTCGTTTATGAGAGTTTATTTCTAGTAGGGCTTGGGGCACTCAGCTCTGTATATGGACTTGAACTTTCTTATTAAGGACTCACAAGTGAGATGACGTATTAGAATATTCACTTATGAGTTGTGCCACATCGTTTTTTCTTTTCTTTTTTTCCTTTTTTTTCTTTTTTTTTCTTTTTTTTTTTCTTTTTTTTTCTTTTTCTTTTTTTTTTCATTTTTTTTTCTTTTTTTCTTTTTTCCATCGTTTATATAGTGAAAATAGGTCTAATTTATAAGTTTAATAGGCTTTTCCTGTCTTGGTTTGTTTCATCTGCGTGGGATCACACCTATTTTCCACCCTTTCTTACACTTTATAAGCTATTTATTTAAAAAAAAAAATGGTTGGTTATTGAAGTTTACGAATTTTATTTGAAGTTTATTAATGATCATATCATTATAAACTCAATAGCAACCTAGCATGGTGATATAGTCACAAGTTTGAAAGTATCAGTTTTGAGTAAATAAATTTATATCATTTTACAATATTGTGTAAACTCCATGTTGTCTCAACATAGCAGGTCCTAAGTCTCGGTAAAGGAGGAGCGTTATGATAGGCTTGGCGAGTCAATGTAAAACCAAGCCGTTCTATGGAGATGAAACACATGTCGGTTTTTTTAGATTTCATCTCTAGTCTACCCTAACTTACTTGGGACAAAAAAAACTATGTTGTTATTGTTGTGCATAATATTGTACATTTTGATATGTTAGACCATTTCACAACAACCACGACAAACTTAAAGAAAAACGTGTAAAATTTTATTTTCTCTAAAAGCATCATATTTCAAGATTCAATTGTATACTTATGAAGATATTTTCGCATTATTACATTTGGAAATAAAATTAATTATGGTAGAAATTCTTATGAATTAAATGGCTCATATTGTTTTAACGAACTTTGAATGTGTCAATTTTTAGTCACCATCATAGATGTCATTAATCTGAAAATAGTTCGTTGCCTGAAATCAAGAGACACCCTATATTGATATATGAATTTTGTTGGTGTGTTTGGTAAAACTGTTTGATAAGGTAGTTTATAGCTTATAAGTAATTTTAGAGCTTGTAACTTACGACTTATAATTGAAAAGTTAGCTTATATAATAAAGTGTTTGGTAAAATTAACTGATAAGTTAGCTGTAATAAAAATTTTAACTAGCCTATTTGAAAAGTTACACAAAATAACTTATGTGATAAATTTGAGTTTTTTACCAAACGAAGCTATGAATACATCAAGCTTAGCGGCGGATGCAGAAATTTGTATAAGTCAGGGCAATATAAAATAAAAAGTGCTCTAATTTTTTATGTCGTGCTTATTACATATGAATTTACATTTTGCAAAAAAATTCTCATTCACATTCTTCTTCTATCATTTTTTTGGAGTTGTTTCGGTCGAGCCTGTTTATCAAATTTCTAAAAAAAAAAACTAGAAAAAAATTCATCTCAATTCAAAACCTAACTCGACTTTAATTAAACCTCACTATCCACAATATTATCAATATAAGTATATAACTACATAATTTCATTCAATTGTTTTTACACATTACATCAACTTTAATCACTATCAGTACACTCACATAATTTTAACTACATATCATTTCCAATCATATATCTCCTACTTTTACATAAAATCAATTTTAATTATTTTATTTTTAATATTATTTTAATAAATTTTTGAATTTCCACTAACAATTAATTGTATTAACTTTTTTCCAAAAATGCTTTAGTTAACAAAAAAAAAAAA